GTTCGGCTCTGGGTTTCGAACGAACCCAGCAGAAAAATTCTCTGTTTTTTTTTCTGTGGATTTGGTTGGTTGATGATGATGAAGAAGGCTCGAATGGGTTTAGGGAAGAAAGGGGGAGAAGGGTTCAGGTTTTGCAGGAGGTGGGACCCACTTTTTTTTCTTGTTTGGTTTTGGGGCAGAATGGGTCATACTGCCATGTCATCTTTTTTTTCCAGGTGTGCGTTTGAGGTGTCACTTTATTGTTGACATGTCATCGTGCTTTTGTTAATCAAGGACACATCACTAGATTTTTAACGGATTTTTAACGGAGGGACTAAATCGGGGTCAAAATGGTAAACAGTATGGACCAAATCAGGGATTTTTTGAGTTGAGGGACTAAGTCGGGGGTCCGTACGATAGTTGAGGGACCAAAATGGGGGTTTAACCAAAAAAAAAAAAATCTTTTTCCGTAAAAAATATATTTTTTTTCCTTTTTTCCTCTTTTTATTTCGTCAATGGCCACCACGGATAACGGAATTAACTAACTTTGCTTCCCGCCAATATATAAACATCCAACTGCTCTCTCCCACCCATTGAAATCCTCTGTTAAACCCTTTCTTTTCTGTGCTTACAATCACCAAGAAAACAATTTTCCCGAGAAAATCCATCATTTTCCCTAAGAAAACCATGCCACCGATGAAGAGAATCTTCAGAGACGTGGATCAAATCTTAATAGACACGGTTGAATTCTACATAAACACCTTTCGACATAATTTGAGAATGTTCAGATGCATCTGTCAACGTCCTATTCTCTTTATCATCACCTTCTGTATCCCGACAAACTTAATATTCATTCAATTGAACTGCGAGGATGCAGATAATCTGTCCATGTGCATTCTTGATCTGAGATTCTTTGATTCCTGACGTTCCAAGGGGCAGGGGTGTCGAGACGAAGAGTCTTGCTTTTTTGTTTTGGACGGTGATTTGAAGAGGAATGATGAAGTTATGATGAGGAAATTCAGGGTCTTTGTGCACCCAGAATGGGACCCAAGAACATTTTTTCATACACCCAGCAACCTAATTCGACTGTATGCAAGTGAACCCTATTTCTTTAGAAATATGGAGCAGACTCAGCTTCGAACTGAGAATCCTAATGAGGCTGACATGTATTTCATACCCATTTCCATTCAAAAGATGAGCGAAAGGATAAAGATTTGATGTTCCTTAAGAATTTGTAATCTTGTTAAAGTTTCATTTACTTGAGCAAGTTACTCAAAATATGCCGAGAACCTTTTCAGGTATAGTTAAGTTGATGAAAATCAGACTTTTGCTTGTGTATTTTCTGTGTTAATTGTTGGTATTTACCGGATGTGGTTATTGCCACTGTTTGTTTTAATGATTTTCTTTAATTTGATTGTTAAAAATAGCTAATAACTAATAGAACAATTGATATTTTATTATTTAATAAATTGAAATCAATTTTTATAAACTGATATTTTCAACCATTATAACTATCTATTTAAAAAAAAAATTACAAATATCAGTCAAATTTTTTATGACCTTAACAAAATAAATGGTTACTATAACCACCCTTTTTCACTGTTGTTGGATAGGATGAGACTTTTTGAGGATCTTTATGTTTTGCCGGTCCTTATGCCATTTATAGTAACAAGAGGCGTGATTTAGTCTTTCTCAAATTTCTTTCCATGATAATTCAGAAAAGATTGAATTTTGTAACATAATTTACTGATGAAATGCGGGACATTCTATTTCTAGTTCTCTGTGTTGATTGAATTTACTTCTGTATTTTCTGTTGACGTAAGTGTGGTTTTATGCAGCAGCTTTCTCTTAAGGATATGAGAAAAGTTGTGGAGAATTACAACCGGGTAATAAGTTCGAAGTATCTCTACTAGAACAAAACATCTGGTGTTGATCACTTTTTTGTGAGTTGCCATCTGCTGGCATTGCAGGTAACCCAAGGAGTTCCAGATCTTGTGAACAAAGCTATTTGTGTGGTATGCTATCATGAGTGTGGTGATGGTTATGGATATATTGATGCGAAGGAACTAGCCCTCCCCCATGTACTGCCACCATTTGTACAACTAGCTGCTGGAAATGGTATTTGTTAATTTGGGCAGCTTCATGAGTTCTAGTTGACCATGAGTTAACTAAGGGGGCCAACAAAAAAGACCCAAGGGGTTGTTTCTGAGCAGACACTTCGACACTTAAATTAGCAATATTTTATACTTAGGACTCTTTTTAGAGAGAGAAGTGCTCTCGGAAAAGTCTTTTACCTTTGATGGGTGTGGGTAGGGGTGGAGCCAGGAATTTTAGTTAGGGGAAGTCAGTTTTTCAAGTCTTAAAATAATGTATTGTAATTTTGAAAACTTACTTTCATATCATATATTAAAATAATATTTGACGAGTTTTCATGTCAAAATCTATTTATAATATTGTCTACACTAAATGACTGAACTATTTTCTTTTCAACATAAACAATCAAAAAGTTTGAGAGAGATTCATTCTCTATTTTGCTGGAAAATCTCGTTTTCACAATTTTCATGATAGAAAATATACTTTTTTTTTTGTTATTACAATAGAAATGGGAAGAGTAAACATCAAAGTAATTAACTTGTAAATGAAACTATAGACTTCTGATTTTCTTATCTCCACAATCCATTAACATAGTTAAGAAATACGACAATATTGTATCTCTTCACTCTACCACTTTCTACAAACAAACAAATTTTTTTTTCCCTTTTTACAAGCTAATTACATTTTATACGAGTTTATCTTCTTTTTATACTAATTTATGTTCATATTGCTTTTCTCTATATGACTATATCTAAGGTTTTTTCTTTTTATTAGATTCATATATGTTCCCTTTATGGATTTGCACTTTCTCTTTTTTTAATTGTTTTACTCCGATTCATTTCTATTCCATATAACTTTAATATATTTTCAATATTATCATAATATTTAATTTTATTTGTAATCTCAACAAAACTAAATCCTAAAAAGGAACTATACAATTTTTTGCAATAGTAAAAAAGTAATAAGTTTAATTACTTAAATATTATGCCCTGCATACTAAAATAATAGATATTTTTGTTTTATCTTCAAATGAAAGATGTGAAAACAATTTCTATCTTTACCTACTTTATACTTAAAAAATAACTAAAAATAAATATCAACTTTCATAAAAAAAATAATTAAAGTTAAAAGATAATTATAGGGTTAAAGTAGAAAAAAACTATTTATCTTCCTCAAAATAAAAAAAATGACTATTATTTTTGGATAAATTCTAAATAAAAAATATCAATTATTCTGGAATAGAGAGAGTATTAATTTTTTTTGTTAGAATATATCTACTAACAAGTATAAAACAAAATTTTAAAATAAAATAAAAAAATTTACAAAACTTTAAAGTTGAAACCCAATATGGCAATATATGATTCATAAAAAAAAAGATAGTATTATTTTTAGTCTTTATCAAGAAGTTAGTGATCCCTTTGGTGATCCCTTAATTTGTCTTCAAGCTTTCAATGAGGAAAGTAGTGTTGTAGTGGCTTGCATCGAGCCGCCAACAAAGTCTCTTTTTTCTATTTTTTTTAAAGTTAATTAATTGAAGGAGATTGACACCGGGACAGTAGAGCTGGATATTGGAGAAATGGCATAAAAGACATAAGAATTGGTTTTTCTTCTTCTTTTTTTTTTTTTTCTTTTTCTACAAAATTCAATTGTGGACCTTAAAATGGGTGGGTTTTAAATAATTATAAATAGTTAAATTATTAAAATGAATAATTGATTATATAAATTATATTTGAACTCTTAAAATATCCCATTATTATTGGATCTTTTTTTTATTTTATGTATTTTAACAATTAAAAATATAATATTTAAAATTTTAATAATAATAATTAATAGATTAATTATACATAAAATTTTTTTTTCAAATCCTAGAGGGGCGGTGGCCCCCCAGTCTCCATGTGGCTCCGCCATTAGGTGTGGGTATTTATAGACCTTGAGAGTGCTTTACGAGTGTTGCACTTCTATTAATTCTTTTGGATCCATTTGGATTTATATGAATTTTACAGTAACTCATGCATGTGCTGCTTTGTATTTGAGTCTCATAAGCCTTTATTACATTTATGAATCAGTTAGATTACTATTCCAACAATATTAAAAAGAGGTGATTTCAAGTCTACCCTCTTCTCTGTGTGTGTAGTATGCTTTCTACCCTTTGAAATGCATTTATTTAATCTTGAAAAAAGACTGATAATCTCTTCCATACAAGTTGTACATACACCAACTATTTAATAACATGACATGTAATTTGGTATAAGATCATTCCCTCAAATAGATTTCTTCACCCTATTAGTCTGGCTGGGTCCTGAGTCTCCTGACTTTTGCTACACAAAAATAGGTGCCAATTAGCATATTCTAAAATTTCTAATGTTTCAGAACTAGAATGTTTCTCTTGAGAGGTGAAGACATTTATGAAGGTATAGATTTGCGGAATCAACCAGAGAGTGTTTTTCGACCTGAACAACTATAGCATGTCTATGCTGCGCAAAAGAACAAGAGAATATAGGAGTACTGCATAACGATACAAGTAAATTTGCCTCTGTCCTGGTGGATCTCAAATGAGTTATGCATGTATTGCAGTTGCCATTCACTATGGATGCGTTCCTGGTAAGACCTTCAAGCTCCGAGGAGCTTAAGTTTTTGGATTCATTTGGTCTGCTTGTCTTCCTGAGCTGTTCCTTTCCTTTTATTTCTGCAGTCGTTTGTCCAGGGCTGTATGAATTGCCATTCTCTAGTTTGTTCAATTGGAGTACATTTCCGTACAAATGGAAGAGGGTGATCATCTTAGTTATCATGTTTGGAGTTTTCTTGAGAACATCCCAAAAGCAGAATATAGAAATTTGCAACTCAATACAGTGAAGGTAAATTAATGCAATATCATGAAAATCCTGAGAACGAATAATGTTTTAAGTTCATTATATAACATTTCAAGAGGGACCTTGTCTTTGATGCAGGTTCAGAAGTACTTTCAGTGGAACACACCTCCCATCAAATATGATGCACTTCATCGGATTATTTTTCAACTTTGGATGGCTTGAATGTGTTTTAAGCGTAAGACAACTGCATCTGGTATCATCCTGGTGGGAAAAACACTAGACTTAATCGACAAGGTGTGCACATTGGCATCTTCCTAAAGAAACTACACACAACTATTGTTTTTTGGATAGAAATCTAGTAAACATGGTACACAAAATTCTTTCTGAAAGTGAATATTGGAATTTATATGCGCAGCTTCTTTTAGACAGCGCTGTCTTTGATCTGATTTTATCATACGCTTCTAAGTTCTAACTAGTAATTTCATATTCCATATTCCCTGGCCTCTCTTTCATTCTTTTGGTCCAGGGTCTAAAAATACCCGCTTAGTTAACAACATGATAGGAGACTTTCTTGATCTATATATCTCATTTAGTTCATCTTATATATAAATCCAAAATCATATGTTAAACTAAGAACTTTAGGCATTTCTTAAAGTGAAAATATTATTAAGTTTTAATTGGCAGAAGAAAAAAGGTGTTTGTTAGAGCAGATTTTGTAAGTTTCATAAAAAGAGGCCTCCCAAACCCCTTAAGGTACTTCTGTTATTTTGCAATTGAGTTTGTTTCCCATTTGTGCAGTATATGTTTGATTCTTTTCTGACCTTTATCTAAAAAAAGAATACATTTATTATACTTTTTTTATTATTAATTTATATAAAAAATTATAAAAATAAATTTTATTTTTTATATTAATATCATATAAAAAATTTAACTGAGTAATTAATAAAATTAAAATTAATTTTTATTTTTATATAAATTAATAATTAAAAAAATACAGTAAAAACATCCTTAACTTTTATTTTAAGAACACATACAAGTTAGATAAATCCTATGCTACTATTTACATTAATAAAATTTGCATTAAAAGATGCTAAATTCAATAAATAGTTTATTAATTATGTGGTTTATTTCAGTTTAGTCTAGAAACAATTTGTTTAAAAAAATGATATATAAACTATCAATTTTGTTTTAAAATGATCTACTTGACAAACATTCCGTTAACTAGATTAACAGAATTTCCCTAAACTTTTGAAAAATGTTAAATATAGTACATATACTTTTATTTTTTACAACATTTTGTTTTTGAAATTCAAATTTTTTGTCAAATGTAATAATTAATTAAGATGAAATTTCAATTTACATTAATTAAGATTCTAATTTTAATTTACAATAATCAATATTATATATAATTTAAATTTTATTAT